CAGTGTAATCAGTTAGTGGATTCTGCAGACTGTTGAGGGTTCAGCCTCCTGATGAGTTGGTGAAACTCCGACGGAACAGTTTGTCACAGCCCCTCGTTTGTTGTCCTCTTCTCCCTCTCTGCCTACGGTCTACCAGGCAGCTCTGTTTGACGATATATATGTTAAAACCAAACAAGTAAAAAAAAATAGACTTTCAATTTCGGCGACCTCAACACCCAGCTGCTTATGTTGTCTTGCTGCACTTCGTGCCTGCCTTCGGCCAGTGTTCGATATTGACTAAATACGCCTTACACGGCGCGCCATAAACCATGCCCAAATAGCCAAACACAGTCTTGATACATCTCCGGCTTGTCTTTCGATAACAGGGTAACAGCAGGACCAAGCAGGTGTTTTGATGATGGCAAGGTGTACTCCCTAGCGATCTTTCAGCTTCCCACTTTCATTGATTTCACGCGCAGACTGCAGGCACACAGCAAGACATGCTGGACGCGAAGTAGACTGATACCTTCAACCACTCAGACATCCATCCAAAGCAAAGACACCGAAACAGCCTTCTTCAATGTTGGATAAGAGCAGAAAAGGCTCGCGAGCTTTTTTTTTTTTTTTTTTTTTTGGCCGCTGTGTTGAGAAAAAGGGGAAGAAGAAGAAGAAGAAGAAAAAGAATGGGGAAGTATTTCGAGAGTGTGGCCAATCTAGAGTATGTGGAGCGAGGCCTCAATTTCACCCAAAATCGAGTCTGATAATTCTCGAGTCACTCTCAATTTTGGAGACGAATCGAGAGTAGAGGAGCGAGCGAGGCCCACGGTCTTGCGGTGGGCTGAGGTGGAGACCCCATTTATTTTATTCGTTATCCGTCATCCTTCATCCGTCGTCCGTTACCTGTTATCCATCATCCGTTATCTGTTATCTGTTATCCATTATCTGTTATCCGATATCCGATATCTGTTTCCTTGTTTCTTGCAGGTGTGAAAGGCTTGACGAATCTTGCAGGTGTTATCCGTCATCCGTTATCTGTTATCTGTTATCCGTTATCTGTTATCCGATATCCGATATCTGTTTCCTTGTTTCTTTGCAGGTGTGAAAGGCTACAGGACAAGGAATTACTGCATTCATCAAGCAAAATGGGGGCGGCGGCAGATGAGATGGACGACATTCCCATCATGCTTTTGGTCGGGTGAGAAATTCTGTCCTGTCCTCTGCGGGGTGACATCACAGCGGTTGAAGTTAAAATTGGAACGATTCTTTATAATTGAAGTTAAAATTGGAACGATTCTTTATAATTGAAGTTTTAAATTTTAATTAAATTCTCCAGAAGAAAAAAACCCACCGAAAACAAAAAAAGAAGTCTGTGTCACCGATTCTAGTGCTTTTCATGGAGCCCCTGCCGCTGTTGCATGACCCACTTGACCACCAAGGGTCAATTATAACCAATCACCGCAACCAACCAGTTTTGTTTTTTCTTTTTTTCTTACCGTTCTTTTTTTATCTTTATTTTTGTTTTTTTTGTTGTTTTATCCTGTCACTATAACTAATCATGATTTTTTTTGAAATTTCCCCCCTTTCCTTTTCTTTTATTAACCAGTAGTTATGGATCCATAGATTCCATACATCTGTGTTTCAGGCTCTTCTGTGCACGCAAGGAGTTCAATTGGCACCCTTGGCGACAAGAGCCAAGTCTCTGAACCGGTCACCATAACCGGTCTGTCACCAACTCCAAATGTATAAAAAAAAAACAAAAAAGATGACTGGTTATAAAATGCTCAGCCATTCCTGCGTTGAAACCATCTAAAAATTAAAATATGAAAAATAATGTAAAAATTCGGGAAAAGAACTTTTGGCTGTACGGTTGTGTATAGAATTGCAATGCAAATAACTTTTGGCTGAGGGTCCCCTCAGAATTTAGGCTGTTTTTTTTTTGGGTGGCCGCAGGTGGGCGCAGAAATGCGCTGCCGATTTGGAAAAAAAAAATCCCTGACTTTTCACATGCCGGGGTTGACCTGGCCAAGTCACCCGGCCGCCCAGGCGGGCGCCATGATTAACCTACCTACCTACCTATTTTCTGTTTTATATGAATATTTTTTAATGTACATTTGTTTGTTTGCTTACGTTTATTGATTATTTCAGTGCCTTCCCTTTTCTTGGCTTCTTTTGCGTGTACCTCGCAAGTCTGCCGTCCATATTTGTTACATCGCAATCTCATTCAGGCAGTTTGAAGCAATGGCTAGACAAACAGCAGCGCCTCTGCGTGGTAGGGACAGTGACGACGATGCTGCCGATGCCGTCGATGATGCGGATGACGATTTATTAGACGAAGAAGATGGTGGAGAAGAGACGATCGGCTTTGGAATTTCTTCGCCGATGGGGCCCATAGGCAAGGGGGGAACGGGTTCACCGTCTTCATCCTTGGAAATGCCAGACGCAGCAGAGGGGAACATCACAGAGGACGACGATGAGGGTTCGTCATGGGAGGAGGATCTTGTAGATGACGAGGATATTGAAAATTCTTTCATGGACGTCGATGAAGACGAAGAAGGGAAGGCCTTGGAAAGAGGTGACATGGACCCTGACTCCATCTGGGAATTGGGGCGGCAGAGAGAATTGGGACGCCAGATTTCTGCGTATGCCTGGAGCAAAGCAAGCATTTGGCTGGTAAGCGCGATGAGGGGGAAGGAATGGGGGAGGGAGGGGTTGGGGGGGGAGGGAGAGCTGTGTGGGAATCACTCTCTATCTGCCTGTCATGAACGTCAACGACTTGAATGAAGTAATAGCAAAGTGAAATACAAATTTTCCGCAAGACGCAGTACCAGAGTGGCCTGGGACCACTTGCCCGGCCAGGCCGAAAATGAATTAATAAATAAATAAAGATAAAATATTATTTAATTTTAACTTTTATTTTTTATTTGACAAAGGTAAAAAGGGAATGCAGATTAATCGACGCAGTAATGCAGAGGTAAGGGGTAGGCAAAAGGTGCCAGAGGAGGATTTTCATTATGAAAAAAAAAAAGAGAAAAAAAGAGAGTAAACAAGAGAAAGAAAGAGAGAAAAGAAAGAAATCGTTTGTGCAATTGTGTACGATGAAGTCTGGTTTGGGTTCTCGAGTCGGAATTTGGGGCTATGCACCTGAGCTGACCAGTTTTTTTTACAAATGCAGCATTAGATTTGATAAATTTTCGTCTTTTTTTAAGTTTTTTTGTTGAATATATTATTGTGCGCACTGCACTGCTCATGCTTGCCTGCTGTGTTTCTTTTTTTTTTTTCTTCCCCCTCTTCTCCCCCCTTTTTTTTTTTTTTTTTTTTTTTTTTTTTTTTTTTTTTTTTTTTTCCCCACCCCCCCCCCCCCCCTGTGCTCTGGTCTGCTGTTTGCTTTCACTTGTGATAATTTCTCTCGATTGTAAGGACCTGCCCGAACACGGACTGAGAACACAGCTGATTTCTGAATTTTGTCGTTGGAATGAATACCTTGCTGAGATTCCCGCCCCGCTTTCTGCTGAGTTTTCTAAATCTGTATGTGTGCGTGCTTGGTGGTCTGCGTGCCTGTCTGAGTGCTTGATGGCTTGAGTGTGTGTGTGTGTGTGTGTGTGTGTGTGTGTGTGTGTGTGTGTGTGTGTGTGTGTGTGTGTGTGTGTGTGTGTGACCCGCAAGGGTACTTGCTTGCTTGGGAGGCCCTGCCGGGGTGGTACTTAGCTGTGGCCGTGACTTTGAGGGTTGCAGCGGGGAAAACACTGAAGTGGTGGGAATAGGCCCGCGACACTTAGAGCAGTGGGGAAAAACACTCAAGTAGCAGGTAGGCCAGTACCACACCAAGTAGCGGTAGATGTGTCAGGTACTCGAGGCCGAGCAGAAGAAGACAGAAGTTGGCATTTTTTTGAAGCCCAGTAGTTCTAGGCTAGGTCTAGGTGGGTACCAGTCCAAGTAGTCTGAGTCTAGGGCATGTGCTGACGGTATCAGAGCCTGCAATGATGTTTCCCTCCAAAAGGAAGGAGATACCGGTTGCTTGGAGGCCGCGCGGCCTAGGAAGTCACCGCCCAAGAGGCAAGTTGGCGACTATATCTTCCGGCTGAGCGAAGAGCTCAGCCTTATTTGCTGCGTGCAAGTTTGGACGTCACGCTGCTGGAGCGCTGGAGGAGCAGCGCTAGTGTGCAGCGCTGTGGGGAAGAAGGGCACCCAGCTCTCCACCTTGGCCGAAGCACCCGTTAACTGACGGGGAAGAATACCCCGTATTGGTGTTGGGGCTAAGTACTAATGGAAGGGGTCCTGTGCAAAGGGGCGGAGTGAGCGAAAATTGCCGAGTCCGTGGGATGTGTCCATGTGTGGTGTTGTGTGTGGTGTGGGTTGCGTTGGACACTACAGCCATGCAGGGGTGGGGTGGATATCACGACTGGTATGGTTCCACTTTTGAACACCGTGTCCTGGCTGTAGTGGTTAAGACACTTGGCTCCTGAGGCCAAGGTCGCCAGTTCGAATCCGTGCTTGCACGGAGGAGGGCTTTCGCCCGCTAGTGCGGATCGATGCACCAGATTGTGGTGGAGGAGCTCGGTAGGAGGAGGAGAAGGAAGAAGGGGGCTAGGGGAAGGGAGCGCCAGGGTACTTACCTGGCCATGGTGGACGCCATCTTCATCGCCTTGGTGGGCGCTGCATCTGGAAGGCCCCCATTGGGGTAGAGCTACACCAAGAAGCTTTGAGGCAGAGTCAGGCATGACGGCCTGAGTGGAAGCAGCCATAGCTACTTTGTGTTGTTGTTTGAATAAGAGGAGAGGAGAAAAGGAGGAGGAGTTGGTTGGCGATGAGAAGGGGGATTATCATTGGTCTTTGCTGGTGTACATCTCTTCTTCTACTTCTTCTTCTTCTTCTTCTTCTTTCCCTTTCTCTCCTCTCAAGTTCATTCATTTCTTTTTGCAATTGGACGGCATTGTGCTTTCTCGTGATTTTGCACTTCGGAATGGACAGGATCCTAACACTATTCACTTTTTGTGTCTACTTTTATCCTTCTCTTTTGTTTTTTTTTTAAGGTCTTCAAGTATGAGCGCGAATGCACAGCTGCCGATTTCCCCACCATACGACAAGTGCGAACTGTCATTGACTTTTGGAAACCTGGACGGACACTAGAAAGGAAGAAAAAGTATTTGAAGGTGTGTGATAAAACCTCTCCCTTTTTTGGTAATACAACTCCATAGAAAGTTCATAATATCTAACATCATATGAAAGAGGTGCTTGTCCTTCTCTCCTTTCTGGCGGGGGGCGGGGGAGAGAGTGAGAGGGAGAGAGAGAGAGAGAGAGAGAGAGAGAGAGAGAGAGAGAGAGAGAGAGAGAGAGAGAGAGAGAGA